GGCGGCTGCAGTGTCTCTCTGCCTCAGCCTTCCGCTTCCCAGAATTCTCCTCTCTCCTTGTCCCACCTACTTCCTGCCTGGCCACTGGCCAACCAGTGTTTTATTTATTGACCAATCAGAGCAAATTTGACATATAGACCGTCCCACAGCACAATGCTTTAGACATCCCTTGAAAAACATCTCTCACAGATTTCAGTGTTTCCTATTTTCAACATTCCCCCTTGACATAAACGACAATACTTGGGGAAAGACATGATGAAACATTGATGTCACCAACCAATTCCCAGCCAGGAGAGCAGCTCAAAGGACATTGGGTCTGAATTGCCAAAGGGAAACTTGGGGGATTTTCACAGACACTGAGGTCCCTGGAAGTCACAGAAGGACCATGAGGAGCTGAGACAGCAGGTGTTAGAAATTGCTTCCAGGGCCAATTGCCAACCCAGAACATAGTCCTGGTAAGTTTGAGAAACTAATGGAGAAAAAAAACTAAAAGCAAAAGAAAACACTAGGAGTTCTCCCATTGCACACAAGTCATTTTGGGTAATTAGACAGGGTGATGGAATTGAAGCCTACTAAAACATCTCCAAAAAATTATAGACGTCATTAAAGGAAGTTAAAAGTTCATTAACTGGTAGCAAGGTTAGCATGCAATAGTCATGTGATGCTAAGTATTACATATAAAGATAGAGTATTCTAGCTTGTCTCGTCTTATGGTCATTTGCTGATGGTTACTACGATTTAGGGTGGTCCCAGGGCTCTCTGCACTGTTAGTCTCTTGAACAGCTTCCTTTTTCAAGAGGAAACTGAAGTTTAGAGACTGAAGATGTGTCAGGGCTCGGATGATGGTGCCAGGCTGTTTCCAGGGTTAGAACACTTTTTAAAAGCATGTGTGTGTGCTCACGTGTGCACAGGTGCACTGGCATGCAGAAACTAGAGGCCACCTTCCAATGTCACCCTCGGGCATGCTGTCTACTTCTTTGGAGACAGGCTCTCTCATTGGCCTGCAGCTTACCCATTAGGCTAGACTGGCTGGTCAGTGGGTCCCAAGGATTCTGTGTCCTCTTTCCACCTCCCAAGCCCTGGTATTACAAGGGCACACCACCATGCCTGGTACTTTTACTTGGGTTGAGGATCAGACTCAGGTCCTAATGCTTCACTGACTGGGTAGTCTTGCCCCCCCCCACACACACACATTAAAATAACTTGCTAGCTGAATGTTGTTCTCATGTCTGTTACCAGCATAATAACCCACGTTCAGTGAATATTTAAAACCTTGTATCCCACAAGGCTTGTCTTTTCAAAGGGACCAGTTAAGCTACGAGAGCCTTCTCTCCATTATTGGTGGTCATGTCAGTTACTAAAGCTGTAAGATTCACTTGCTTGGTCCATACTTGGCAGAAATGACCAAGGACACAGCACTTGGGGAACATTCTAAAAGCAATAAGCTAAATTTACTAACAACTGGGTAGAAGGATGCTTTGGGGAGACAAGGTCTCACTATGAAGCTTTGGTTGTCCTGGAACTCTAAGTGAACCAGGCCGGCCTCAAGCTCACAGAAATGTGCCTGCCTCTGCCTCCAGAGTGCCAGGATTAGAGGTGTGTGGCACCTGGGCTTGGCTGACTTATGATGGGTCCCAGATTTCAAATGCTAATTATTACACATGAAATGGTACATGTGAAATTGTTCTCTACATGTAATGAAGTACCATATTCATCACTTAAAACATCATTGCAACATTGTGAAATTACTACGTCTCTGCACTAAGTCTTTGGCCCTGGGATCTTATCACATTAAATATTTTTCAGAAGTTGGATGAGGCATCTAAAAGTTGATGCTTTTTGCTTTGTTTTTGTTGTTATTGTTTTTCGAGACAGGGTTTCTCTGTTTAGCCCTGGCTGTCCTGGATCTCACTCTGTAGATCAGGCTGGCCTCGAACTTAGAGATCTGCCTGCCTCTGCCTCCCGAGTGTGGGGATTAAAGGTGTGTGCTGCCTGCTTTGTTCTTTAGGACAGAAGAACTGTCCACATTCTGCACCACTGGCAATTTCTCTAGACATAGGAGTTACTATCAAAGGTACACAAGATGTGATATTCCTATCTGAAAGGAACAGGAAACCAATTGCAGAGGAGCTGATTGGTGAGAGTCATGATCTTTTCCCAGAGAACAAGCATAACTCGGACCAGGACCTGCAAATGCCAGTGCATTAACTATCCGAAGCTTTAGTGGCCATCCTTCAACTCAGAGACAATGGGACCTCTTTGTAGTTGGAAGTTTCCCTGTGCTCACCTGGCACCAAGGTCTCACAGCCACTTATGAAATTCCCATGTCCCGCCTGGTCCTGTAGCCACTCAGACCCAAGTGAACACACAGAGGCTTATATTATTTTTAAAATATGGCCATGGCAGGCTTTTCGCTTGATAGCTCTTATATCTTAAATTAACCCATTTCTATAAATCTATATACTTTGCCACATGGCTTGTGGCTTACTGGTACTTTTACATCTTGCTTCTCCTGGTGGTGGCTAGCAGTGTCTCCTCTACTCTCTCTTTCTTCCTCTCTCTTTAGAGTGTCCTGCCTGACCTTATTCTGCTTCAACATTGACCAAACAGCTTTATCAACCAATCAGAGCAACACATGTTCATAGCATACAGAACGACATCACCTATCGGGCACTATGGGGGTCCAGCCCCTCGATAGTCCCCTCCCAGGGTCCGGGAAGAATCTACAACCAGCTGATAATTAATCTTTGATGAAAAGAAATGAATCTATGTACACAAAACTCCTTAGTCCATATACTTTATTATTCTGTGACAGTTACAAGCTTATATTCTGCTCTCATATTTAGGTCATCTTTAGCCTGATTTCTCTCTACACTTGTCTGCGATCCCCTCTAGGTTCTGTCTTAATTCCTTCATCTAGTTCTGTCCCTTCTAGGTTCTCATCTATCTAGTTCTTTCTCCTATCAGCTCCTCTCCCGTCTCCTTCTCTCTCATCTGGCTCTTCCTCATCTTCCATCTCGTTCCTCTAGTACTCTCCTGTAGCCCTTCAATCTACTTCTTCCCCATCTCAGTTTGTTCCTCTCAAGTTCTTACCCATCTAGTTCTTCCATTCTCTTCTCTCTTCTCCCCCTGTGCCCTGGAAGTCCCGGTATATAAAGGGAGGGTCCGAGCTAAATTGTGTAAAGCTATTACTTAAAGTCCACCTCTCCTAGGCGGTGTCTCCTTGTGGAATTTACCGTAAGTCAGGAGACTTGCATGTGGGCTGTTATCATTGTTAGTCCACCTGGGACTAACAATGGGCGCCCACCTGGGTGGTGTTTCCTGTAGTCCTTGAAAGTGGCCAAGGGAGATAATCTGATTCCAGAGAAAGCCTTTCCTGAGGCAGTTCTCCAAATACCTGGAATGTGTATGTCCAGAGAGTGATCAGTCTACATTGTTAGTCCTTCTTAGGGAAAAGTCAATTGGGAAAACTATGAAGGCACACATGATTTTCATAACAGAATACAGCTGATATATAACAAGACAAGTAACACCAAAAACTCCTTGGAATTTGGCTTCCTCTGGAGGAATTCCCTGATCCCTCCAGGTAGTGACTATGCCATAACCAGCTGAGTTCTTATGATATATTCCTGTGGCCCGCAGCAATCACCCATCGCCTCTTGGTACAGACTCCATTTCTTATGCTCCAATTGGTTTCTTTTAGGGAAGTACAAGCATGCTTATTCACTGACATCCACTGGTGGTGACACATCTATCTGCATAATGGAGAAGAACTTACGGAATATCCTGGTGGTTTCTTTTGGATTCTTCTTTAACTTCACGGCCTTTGGAGGCCTGCAGAATCTGCAGGTGAGATTTACATATCATGTTCTCCAGTTCACCTCAGCACACCCCACACACGCCCACACTCCCTGGAACGATTTTTTTTTTTTTTTCCAAATGAAGCGCTACAAGATTCTGTCTTGTTCCCCCAGAGTGACACCACAGCTCAGGTGTATGTGACCTGGGACAAGCAGGAGGACACTTTGCCTTTGAGTGGTTGAAAAGAGATGAAGGAAACTACTGTGTGTTTTCGGTGCTCTGGGCTTTGAGGTTGGGCAGAAATGTTTGTTAATTCTTACTTGACCTTACAAAAAGCTTTAAGCAAAACTATGAACTTTGACAAAATCATCTGCATTTTGAACCATTATGGAATCCTTCTTGCTTGAGTCTGCATGGAAACCAAGCAGCTACCTCCAAGAGGCTGCTGGGCTTGGAGGTCTTGGGCATTAGGTCATGTGGGCCTGAACCCCTTGGCCTGAGGAGGATTTGACAATTTTTCCTGTGGTAATTACAGGAAAAGTGGGATATGTCTTGTCTGTCTGTCCATCCATCCATTCATCCATCTATCCACCCTCCCTCCCTCCCTCCCTCCCTCCTTCCTTCCTTCCTTCCTTCCTTCCTTTCTTCCTTCCTTTCTTCTCTCTCCCTTCCTTCCTGCTGTCCTTCCATTCATTTTTTTCCTTTCCTTTCTTTTCTGACAGGGTTCTATGCAGTGCCGGCAGCACCCGCTCAGTGCTGATGCCTGCTCTGTGGTTTCTGACGGCTCCTGTGTGTTCACCAGCTGAAGGTGGTGGATGCTTTGACGCTTGTGTCTGTCTCACAGTCTTGCACAGCCCTCTAGTGGAAAGTACTTCCAAGCCGATCCTTGGCCTGACTGGGAGACGGTGGTACACTTATGTAATTAGGTCTACTCTGTGCAGTCTGTATGTGCTTGCCTTTGTATGTCTGTTGCACGGATGAGCTCGTCTAGCACATGCCAGCCCAGATACTGGAGTGTGGGCGTTCATGTGGAAAGAGCCATTAGCTCTAAAATTCTGGCTCTACTTAAATGTCGATGGCGGTCTTCCTTTTCAGTGGTCTACTATCAAAAGCAGTTTTCATTCACAGATGCCGCTCCCTCATTTACTGCAGTGATGTGGGCGATAGAGGAGCCCAACGCTGACCAGAGCTCTCAGGGGTTCACGAGACTTGCAAAGCAGGCACGCTCACTGCTGTGAGTGAGATGTGCCCCGTCCAAAACTCTTTCTAAAAGGGCCAGGCTGGACCATGTTTCTAGCTGCTCAATAAACACCAAGTACCCAGGCAACCCCACTTCAGGGGAAGGTGCCCGACTCCACCTTTTACACAGATTGTATCTTGCGGGCCGCAGAAATATATCATAAGAACTCAGCTGGTTATGGCAAAGTCACTAC